TATTTAGGCAATCAAAAGCTCCTCGGGATTCCAGTAAAATTAGTTTTGAATGGAGCGCTATATGTTCGCCTTATGTCGATGTACATTTATAGGTATGTATTTATATAAAAAGTATGCAAAGAAATTTATAATATATTTAAAGATAACTACGAAAAATAAATCGGGAAGTTCATTAAAAATCTACCAAAATGAGAAAAAATTTACCTTTTTACCAACCCAAATTTTTTCTACCAATTTTGGTAACAATTTGCCAAAGTGGCAACCCTGGCTGCTAATTCCTGCTGGAAAAATGTTTACGAGCAGCAATTTGCCAGCAAGAAAAACAGGTGATCAAAGTCAAAATTTTGTAATGTATGAAAATAATGAAATTTATTTTGATGACTTTAAAGTTAGAAATAACTTATTAGAACTGCAAATGTTTCAGAAGAAAGTACATACTCATTTACATTTGGTTTAGAAAAACTTTTAATTTACAGTATTTTCATGTTTTCTGTTTTACGCTTTTGTAGGTATGTATATAAATAAAATTTCGATCAGCTGTAGTAAAAACTTGCAAGTTTTTACTAATTTTTCGTTAGCGTATTTTTTTGTATATTTTCCAATTTGAGAGATAATCGTTCGTTACTCTCCGGCAAGTTTCTGCTGGATATTTTTGAATGGAGATTTATTCAGAAAGACTAATTTTCTGCCTTCAAATGGAAGAATGGGCGCGTTTCTAAGATGTAACTGTTTACCTCAACTGCTGCTAAAATGTTGGCAACTGGTGAGTCCGACACTTACGTTATCGAAACGGGATGATACACAAACTGCTTAATGAACAGCTGATAACAGGGACGATAAATAGGTTTTTGATTTTTGTACCAAATGGCCAAAAGAAGTACTAAATCAGCCGAAAAGGTACCAACATTTAAAAGACCATACATACATATGAACACATATGTTTTTAAATTAGGTAAATATCTCAATTGGTACGTGCGTTTAATATCTCCAGTAAAACATGTCCGGCAACAAAATTTACGTGAAATGTCATCTGTTATCTCACAAGAGGAAAATATTCAGTATAGAACAGCTGCTCGAATTTTCGTTTAGATTCAAAAGTGTAAACAGAAAAAACTCTCCATCTCCATCTGAAATTCAGGCAACCGGATCACTGTAGCGTTTTCCAAGCGGAGGTAGCCGCAATACAGGAGGCTTCGGATTGTTTGCTCTCTAGTGTAACTAATTTTATGTAGGTGAATATCTACTTCGACAGCCAAGCAGCTCTTGTACTTCCTTATCGACCGCATCGGATAACTACGCTTTAAGCTCATTTGGGTTCCGGGTCATAGCGAAATCATGGGTAACTGCATAGTCGATGAGCTGGCAATTCAGGGGAACCCTTGAGAACGGATAACTACGCTATTAAGCTCCTTTGGGTTCCGGGTCATAGCGAAATCATGGGTAACTGCATAGCCGATGAGCTGGCAATACAGGGGAACCCTTGAGAAATTGATCAAGGTCTGGGTGCTCCGCTGATCTCATGCGGTCTTCTTGTGTACAGATGGGCGTTTGGTCAGCTCAGCGTGCGCTGGGCAAAGGCCTTTTAGGTGCAAGGTGGCTAAGTCCTTCTGACCACGTGTAGACCAGGGGCGGTCCAGGGAGCTCGTGAGACTAAGCTAGTTACACTTCTCACTTCTTGTGAGCGTTCTAACTGGTAACTGCGTTATAGGTAAGCATGCTGTAAGGCTGAATATCATCGATGACCCTTACTGCACCAGCTGCATGGTGAATAGTGGTATGGAATTATCTCAACACCTGATGCTCTGGAGTCCTGCCTTTGCGAAGCTAAGGTTCAAGCACCTCGGGTCGCATTTCTTCCACACTCCCGATGAGAATAGATATCATTCGCTTGAGGAGCTTCGTGGTGAGCACGGAGCGTTTTTCCTGCAAGACGCCATATATGTCATCGTCCTGTTCTTTCCATCTCACCCTTTCCAACTTTCCCATGCCTTCCCCCCTCCTCTTCCCATATAATCGCATACGTATGTTTTGAGGAGTTGTACTCTAAGTTTCCAATACAAATAAATATATCAAGGTATTCAAAAACTAAAAAAGCGTACAAGTGTGTTTATTAAGTGCATGTAACACAAAAACTTTACAAAAAAACAGTTACATTTAATGCAACCGAAGTTTCACAAAAAACGTTTTGCAACTGTTTGTTGATTTTAGCAAGTCTTTGGGTTTTAAGAAACACCACGTATTTACATACTTCTATGAGGTAGAAAAAGATGATAATATTTTCATCCACAGAAATTCCAATTTCCAAGCATACACAATGGTATTGCGAGAGAATTTGGCGTAGCGCCGTATTTTGACAAAATTGTATCAAAAATGTCGATGTAGTACCAATGTACTTTTGGAATTCAAAATGTACCAGAAAAGTACAATTGTACCATAAGTTTCATCACTGGCTCATAATGGTAAATATACAAAAGAAATAATTGCGCCGATAATACTTCCAACTTAACGGTAGGCCGTCAGCGGTCTTAAAAAATTAGTGATGGGCTGAGTCGATACTTTGAAGTATTGATCGATACTCGGTACTGATTTAAAAAGTATCCAATACTTTCGATACTCGGTACCAAAACGTTTAGGCTTACAATTAGAACGCATGTAGACCAAAAATAAAAGCGGTTTAGGGGCGGCTAGCCTATCAAAAGAAAGTGTAGGGGCCAATAGAGGTTTTAATTTCCATTTTCCATAGCCACAATGCAGAGAAACTCTTCTTTATTTGAAACATTTTTTTCGGACGATGTTATCTTCGTAAGCCTGAAAGACTTCCTTCACCCGTCAAAGCATTTTTCGTAAATTTTAGATCTACGAAGGTGGAAACTGATAAAACGGAATTTTACTGTTGCGACAATATCAAGAAGGCGATTATAGTGTTTTGATTTCTGGTTTCCACTTTGCTTAGTACAAATTGTTCAACTTTTGGGAAAGCATCGTCTTACACGTACTAATTGAGAAGCATATTCATATGGTCGATGGAACATTTTTGACAGAAATTTGAATGTTGCAAATTATGTCAAAAAGCTGCAATTATGTATAGAATCGGTATTGGGTACCGAAAAGGAAGTATTGAGTACCGAAATCTTTTTGAAGTATTGGGTACCGAGTATTGGGTACCGGCATTTCAGCACATGACTATAAAAAATCTTTTAACGTTATAATTAGAGCAGATACGTCCAAGTCACACGTCCAAGCACACTTACGCTAGCACATTTTGCGCATGTTTAGGCGCGACTGCTAACACCGGGCGCCTAAATGCATGCTATGTACTGCTGCATATGCAAAAATTTCCTTTGTGCAATTTATAAAATTTTTGCATATGCACTTCTCAAATGCCATTTCATAAAACTTTCTTAAGTTTTATTTTTATGGCACTTCAAAGTATGCTTGGCCTAGTCTGATGCACCCTACAGGCAGACACTCTTCCGGAGTTTTTTGCGGACTCTGCATGATTGTTAGTCACAGGCTAACCTAATGTTCGCGGCTTGCGTTTTGGATCGCATGCCGTCGAATTTGTTTTTTTGCGTCACCCGAAATTGACTTGCATGCGGTTGCATTTGATTTCATTGAGCGAAACGTCAAATCAAAATGTCACGCAGAACAAAAATTGGAAATTGAGTTAGCTTCATACGCACGCCGTTCAATTTCGGTTGATCTCATACAAGTTGCACGTGCATGAGAAATTTTTGACAATAAATTGGCGGCGTGCGTGAATATTAGGTTAGCCTGTCACACAGAGTACACACAGAGAAAACACATAAGTAAATCGAACAAAGTTGGCCTAGTTGAAAAATTTTGTATGGGTCCCAAGAAACTGGCGCCATTCATCAAAGTACTTACGCAATTTATTACCTAAGCACTTTGACTGACAAAGCACGAGGTCGTTTTAACAAAGTCATCTTAGGTATTTTTTTATATGGACTTCGGAAACTATGTGTAAATTAACAAGCAATATTCTAAATAAAACCAAATGTATATTTTAGCATTGTATATATTTTGTAATGCAATCGCTGAGAACACTGTTTCCATCAGACACGTGAGCGACTTATTCTCTCATCGTTTAGCAAAATTAAAATGTAGGATTGTATGAGTTTTGGCCACCTCTGCTTTAAATAAAATTAATTCCTGCTATATGCAGTGTTGCCAAAACTTTTTGGACGAACCGGCTAAATTGACCGGCTAAAAACGGCCAAACTATTTCAACTAAATTTCACATGTTTTATTTAAATAAATCATAAGTAGAAAGACTAGTTCTTGGAGAGAAGTTGCAAATTAAAGCTGGAAAAAATTTTTCCAGCAAGAATTTGCAATTAGGAAAAACATGTGATTGTGGCACATAGTTGGTTTTTTTGTCGACGATAATTTGAATAAACAGGTTCGTCAAATTTAAAAATTTACAGACTTGAGCGATTTTAAAATGAAAATTTTAAGTAAATACTTTTTTACTTAATTAATTCCAATGATTTGAAACGTACTCGGAATGCGATCTCAAACAGAGTCGATATAGGAAACACGACATTTAGTACGGCAAAGAAATTTTAACGTATATTGAAGAAAGTCGGACTAGCAAGAATCCTAGAACCTGTTTTTTGTCCCTCTGAAAGAATTTTAAAATTCTATACAAATTTCTTATGTTTGAAATACCACCGTGGACACTAGCCGGCAGGAAAACTTGCAAGTTCCCTCCAACGTGCGTTCCAGCAGAAATTTGCAAGTTTCTCTTGAACTTGAGAGAAAATTTGGGAGCATGTTTTCTTACTAACTGATATTTTGAGTGATAATTTTCTTTGGATTTTCGACAAACAAACCTATTGCCTCCCCAGAGAGTTTTGCTTTACATAGAAATTTGTGTTTTTTTACTTTCATTTTGACGTATTTCAGTGTTGGTTCTTTTAATTTAAGTTGGCCTTCGCTGTTTGTAATTTAAATAAGTTCTCAAGAAAAAGAGTTAGATTAAATAAATACTATGTGTACATAGGCTTGAAAATATCCATTTTTCTCTTACCTTAAAACTTTAAGCGTGGGTAACAATGAAGCTCGGAACACTTTGACGACTGCAACTTCACGACGTAACGACAGCGACATCATTTTGTCGACTAATGTCGCCTTGAAGCCAGCTTCTTAAACATTTTGAGACCTCAGCGACATAGCAAACAGCTGATTTTAAAGTTTGACATTTTGGTATATTTATTTCACAAATTGTGTATTTTTATTTAAGTAAATAAGAAAAACATGAACAATCAAGAATATGTGATTAATTTTGCGACAATTTAATTTTGCAGCACTACATCTACTCATTGTCGCCGGCAAAATTAGAAATAGATTTAATTTGGCGACGTCGACAATTGCAGTCCTGCAGCCAAGATGTCGTGCTGTCGTCAAAATAATTGTGTCCGTAAGAACGTGTGTATTTAAAATTTGACAGATGCTGCTTGTCGCTTGCTGTCGTCAAAGTGTTCCGAGCTTAATGTTTTGTAATTAAGGCAGAATTGAATATGCGCTATCTGGGAAGACAAAAAATACCTGTAACATTTATTCTTGGCACTATATGCAAACACAAACTGTGAAACAATTTGTTATTTTCTAGGCTTGCGAATAAAACTTCACATTTAAATTTAAGTCATTCATAACAAACATTTTATGAAGAAAATCCCCGTTACGGCCTCTTTAGAAAAAATATATTCGTTTAAAATAAAAATAAGCGAAATCGGCCCAATTTTATATAACCCTGCCTCCGCGATAAGGCTAGTAGCCATTTTTAACAGATTTTGGATCGCTTAGTCAAAACTGAAAACATATATATTTGAGTTTTAAGAAAACAAGGTAAATAGCAAAATCGGCTAAAACCGGCTAATTTTTTTTTACAAAACGGCTAACAAATCGGCTTCCGGCTAAACCGAATTTCTCCGGCTGTTTGCTATCGCAACCGGCTAAGTCTAGCCGGAAAACGGCTTAAATGGCAACACTGGCTATATGCATGTATGTACATATTTATGGATATACATACTTCACTGCAAGTTGAATTGTTTTAATATCTATTGCAAAATTTTATACAGACAAGACAAAATGTATAAAGTATAAAAAATAAAAAAACTTTAATATACCACGCTTTTATAAATGGACTAAAAATTAGAAAATAATATTTCTCAGTCCCATGGAACTTGTTTCGATAACTTTTGATTTTGAAAAACTTTTGATTTAGAAAAAGTCATTATAAACAATTTATGAGATTGAAAATTAAAAGCGTGGGGTGCATGTAATAGACCTGAATTGATATGAAGGGTAATATATGTATGTATGTGGATATATGAATAACGACCGCTTAAAGTCGATCTCAAATTTGTACTTTCTCTGAAGAATTTTTAGGTCTATGTTATGTAGTTTGACTATTGTCGATTGAATCTAATGCTTTGTTTTGCATGCGCTCCACGTTGTTCATTTTCAATCTGATAAATTGTTTAGGTATAATGACTTTTGCTAAAATTTCAAAATCAAAAGTTATCAAAACCAATTCTATGGGACTGAGAAATAATATTTTCTAATTTTTAGTCCATTTATAAAAGCGTTGTATATTAAAAAGTTGTTTTTTATTTTATTCATTCTTTCATAAAACTGAACAGCGGCTGCACATTAGCATCAACTTCATTTTATGCTGCATCATTGTATCTTGAGCGGGTTGCTTGTATCGAAACCAATTCATTTTCCTGGGCTTTCATTCCCTACTCAACATTTTGCGGTACACGAAATTGCTCGTCTTTGAACCGTGGACCAAGAAGAGTATCAAGTCTTGTTACAGTTGTCGTTCCATATGCAAATAGTCGTTGCTGTAACGTTTCCATTAAGAATTTCGCAGGTTTGAACACCTACCTTCGTTTTCATTTTGCTTTTAGCTTCTGCCATGTTTGAGTACAGGCAACGACCATGGGCATAATGAGCAAAACCGTTACTGTAGTGTTTGCTGATACTTGTACTGAGGCATCATTAAATGGCACAAGCAAACTGCAAAATCTTGCAGTTAATAAAATAACAAATTTTGCGCGTCACTTTGGGTACCTTTTGTACATTTTTTGAGTATAACTTTTTCAGCGAAAAACGGAGACATTCAAAAATCATGGCAAATAGTAAATGTAATATTGGAAAATGCATAAGGCGTTGTGAAAAATATGTGCTCCTCATTGGAAATAAACTGTAAACTGATTTCTTAAGTTCTTTTTCATTTTGCACTTATACACATATTAATTACACATTAAAGAGTAAAATAAGACTTTTTACAGTTGTGTGCCTTTCGAAATATTGAAAATATGTATAGCAAATATTGTCTGAATACGTCTTAGCGTGAATGGCTTCAAATTTAATTTTTTTTTTATAGCACACCGACGGACTAAAACATAAGAGGTTGGCATTAAGCGTAATCGTTAGATAACATTCTTCATAAAGTTCGTTGGAAATGCTAAATACATAAAATAATTTTTGTCTAAAATACGGCCATGAATTTATATGTGTGTATGTAAAGGATTTTCAGATCTTTGGGCAGTGCGACTAACGAATTTTTAAGTATATACTCAAAAAGCAAAAATTAGTTTTTCGAAAATTTTTTGGAAACTGGGCCCTACCACTTATTTCAAATATTTGTATCTCGAAAACCACTTCACCAATCTGTTCCGTATTTGATATATACATTACGCCTGACCTTCTTAAATACCGTATTGAAAATTTTTGAAATCTGACAAAAACCACGCCCTTTAGAAGTACCGCTAACATTCAGTTTTCAAAAATTATCGTTTTTTATTTATAACTATTTAAGCATTTGGGAAAAATGAAACAATAATTTAATGTTTCCTCAATGGATTTCAAACAATTTGATGTATAATTTATTTTTGTGCGTTCAATTTAAAAATTTACGTTTTCTTAGCGTTGAATCGCACGGTTCCAGATATCTGCCCATATTGAAACGTACTGCCGTGCGCATGTTTACACATCTAATTTCATATGTAAGTACAAGAAACAAAAATGTATGTACGTATAAGTAAAGCTCAATGAACTATAAAAACATATTCATTTTCACAAAATAATTAGATTCAAAGCCCATCACATTCATTCAATTTGAATATGAAAGAATCATTTGCCGGTTTGAGTGGATGCATGCAGACGTCTAATACTTGCATAAGTATGTATGTACACACATTCATAAATAAACTTCATAGTTATTTCTACAAGTTTAGTATACAATATATTATGTACACATGGTTCAATAATTACAGGTATTGTCTTCCCAGAGAGCACATATTCCGATCTGCCTTATTTGAAAAGCATCACTTTTACTCACACGTATTTTTTAAACAAACCTCCTTGCAGAGAACTTAATGTACATATGAGTAGCCCACTTACAAAGTGCGCTATGTAAATTTTTTTGAGATTTTTAGTTTTTGGTGGTAAACGTACCAGTATTTAAAGTAGTTTCATGTCCATTAACAATACTGCGCAAAATCCGTTTATATTCTGAAAAAAATAACATCAAATGTTAGTTACTTTAGCAAAAGTCGCTATAATACTTACTGTATGTATATATACACTTTCAAAGGTCGCTATAATATTTATTGTACGTATTTATATAAGCTCAAAAGCCTCCATATTCTGATGAACTTAGAAAACTGCAAGAAAACGTGGTAGTTTCGGTGCCTAGTGGAATACGTCATAAAAAAGAAGCAGACCGACCTTCATGGAAGAGAGAACGCGAAAAGCTAAAAAAAGCTGGCTATATAAAAGTTACTGTTTCAAAACTCGCTTTATTAAATTGTTATATATAAAATTTGCAAAAACTACGACACTGCGATTTTGTTTTTTAATGTTATTAGGCCCTTATTTATCACAATTTTCATATACTAAAAAGAAATATACAATTTGGATGTTACTTGTTGCTGTAGACGTTTTTTTTTTAATTTATGGCTTACTATTATAAAATCACATAACGCTATTTGCAAGTGGACTACTCATATGTGTTTAATTTGCAAAAGCCGAAAAATAAACACTTGCTTAGTAAACAAATCCAAAATTTTTATTGCTCGCTTTAATTCAAAGGTTTTTTATTTGGTTTTCAAAAATTATAAAAAGGGAGGTTCCATGGGAAACTGAACCTCAGAGCACAATTTTTTTTTTATAAAAATAACAAATGTGTGGATAAGACATAAATACAAATCCTGAATCGACCAAAAAATTACAAATTAGAGCTTTAAAGCATTTTTATTGGCTATTTTTACGTTTTGACGTACGGGTAGTACAGTTGCTAGAGGTAGGTTTACAGTGCTGATAAGCTTTATTTGTATCTTGAAGTGGACGCAGTGGAGAAGGGCGGAAGCGCGGACTCGCCCATTACCTATATACCCTTGTGGTCAGCTGATTAGGTTAAGTGTCATTTTGACCAGTTTTGGTTTGTTCTTTTGTTTATTAATGTTCGCTTTTTTTTATAAAAGTACAGTACATAACCACACATAACCACATAAATTCACATTTCAAACTTCGTACAAAAATTATAAATTTTAACAAATTTTAACAGTTACACCCCAAAATTTTAAGCTTTTTGTTCATAATTTTTAGAAAAATTCTGGGTATGCAGTTTTATAGCGTACTAAATTTAAGTAGGAAAAAGTGAAAATTTCAAGACGCTAGGAGATCGCGTTGATTTTTAATAATTTTTTTGGCTGACGGGGCTAGGCATTTTCTTCTATATAAAAGGCACTATACTAAGATAAAACGTGAGTGAATTTAACCCCTAATTGGCTTATTTTTTTTTAATAACTAATATTTATATAAGGACCACACTAAAAGCTCCTTCTCATATAAAAATTCGTACGTAAGACATGAAGTTCACACAGAAAAGTGAAATAAGTTCGCAGAGTTTTCGTAAAATATATCTGTTCCCAAAAGCAGGTTCTGTTTTTTTTTTGTCCCACCCGTGACAGAAGAAACAACTTGGATTTTTTCCATATAAAAGTATGCTGGCATTTTTTTCGTATTTTGTAATAACTCATATAATAGTCAATTGGGTAGCTTTATCAAAATGTAAAATTTTTCAGTACTTTAGATTAAGTTTAAAAAAGAAAGAAAATTTTTTTTGTTTAATGTCCCACCCATGACTGTGGAATCGCCCAAAACTAAATCGAGCGAAAAAAAACCTGAGCCTACTAAAATAAAAGAATCGCCATTGAAATGCGCCAAAATGGAAATAAGGGAGCACGAATTTCGATGTGAAGCAAAATTCTCTGGGAAGACAATATGTACCTGTAATAATTGTACCATGGGATGTACTTAGTATGTGTGAACGGCATTACAGAAATTTCTTAGTAAAAACCCTAAAACGTGGTAGATTTATAAAAATAATCGATCAATATTCGAGGATTTAGTGCAGGGGGTGGTTTTACTACGCAAAGAGCGCATAGTCTTTCAATGCCAGCTGTTCAGTGTAAATAATTAGTTAGTCTATTCCAGTACCCAAGAATTTAGTCAGGACGATATTATAAATAGTCTTAAGTAATGATCACACGATTTGTACAGATTTGTACATCTTGGAGTCACAGAGTGGTGTTGTCTAGAAATAATAAGTTCAGGTCAGTAACAATTTTCCAAGCAACACCAATCTGTAACTGTGAAAATGTACAAATCGTGTGATCCCTGCTTTAGTCAAATTTAAGTCAACACGAAAGTTAGTTGTAGCTTTTTGACATAATTTTCAATGGAATACATATGTCTCAATGTGTGTATGACGAAATCATGTAAATCTAACGGGCACTAACCAAACTATCGCTTGATGATAGTTTTTGATAACTTTTAAAAACTATCAGATTTTGCTCCTCACGTATACAAAAATCCAGCAAGGTAGGGGAAATTGAGAGACCAAACTGACATTTCATTTTGATGAGAGGCTGCTAGTTTCTGCTGGAAACATTTTTGCCAGCAGCAATTTTATAGCAAGAAAAGATTTTTTAAGTTTAAAATAATTTGTTAGAACTGAAAATGTTTCGGCAGAAAGCAAATACTCATTTACTTAATTTTGCTTATCAAATTACTTTCAGCAAACTTCTAATTTATGCTCTTCTCAAATTTTCTGTTTTATGGTTTTGTGTGTAAATAAAATTTTGATCAGCTGTACTAAGAACTTGCAAGGTTTGCTACTAATTTTGCATTCGCGTACTTTTGTAAGCATTTCTCTCTTCAAAAGAGAACACATAAAAAATAATTAGAATTTGCACATGTACACGACTGAAGAACTATTCTAATCTAAATCAATCGATAAACCGTTTTTTAGTTTCATTTGACAATGTGTTTTCACTTATTTGACGACAAACGCCACTGAATTTGCCAAAGTGAAAACCAGGCATAATGCAGAAAAAAACAAATTAGACGGAGTGCGTATACAAACGGTATTCGTTTATATTAGGTTGGTCTGAAAGTGTAAATACTCACAAGAAATAAGAGTAGCACTTCTCTTTAAGAATGTCGCATGCATGCGCTGCATCCGGTTATTTGCTTGAACGCAGAACTCATTAAACATATTCTTTGGGTAACAGTAGCGTAAGCAGCACTTAATAAGTGCTGCACAGCAAAAGTACGTTTTTTTAGGGCCACAACACTAAGGCCATCAGTGCAGCATTATACAGCTCAGAGAAGGAGCTAAAAGCAGTTTGTTAAAGAGGAAAAGACAAAATACCTCCTGACAACTCCTAAAAGGTTTTCAAGGTTTGAGTCGCGCGCACATTGGCAGTTGCAATAAACTAATTTACCGCGATTCGGCATTAATACTTTCGGCTCGGTCGGCAATTTAAAAGTATGATGCTCTCTTGACGAACGAAAATTACGCCCTAGAAATCTCTCAGCTTGACCTTATATTTAGATATATTAAGCAGAAGATGGCTTTAAGAGTTTTCTAGAGGACTATTTTATGCACAGATCTTTTACGATTTTATTAGGAACTGGATACCACGCTTACCCTGCAAACAATTTTTATATTAATCTCTAAAGAGATCATCCAGGATTAGTTTCCACGAGGTACAATTGGGTATTATGTAGTTAGTCCCAACAAGTAACGATTCAATGATAAGAATGCACTTAACTCTTCTGGCTTTATTAGGAGCTGGATCCTACGCTTACCCTGCAAACAATTTTTATACTAATCTCTAAAGAGATCATCCAGGATTAGTTTCCACGAGGTACAATTGGGTATTATGTAGTTAGTCCCAACAAGTAACGATTCAATGATAAGAATGCACTTAACTCTTCTGAACCCGATTTTTTCCAGTGACCTAAGGACCTTAATTTCACTTTGAACCTTGTTATCTTCACTTCGTTTCAGAAGTCTGTGAGCAACATTTTAGTTAAGCCGCCACGCCACGGTTATTACTTTGGGCGCTTTGAAATCGCAAATTTTAACAACAAACTTTGTTCCATGAAAATTTAGATAATGACTTGCTTAATACTATTGCGTTCACGGTTTTATCATTTTTACCATAATTTTTGAGAAAATAATAGGGGTATTCACCAAAAAAGTGGCCCGGCGACTAATGGTTTTCATACCCGTTCGGGTATAAAGGGGAACATTTAGTAGTAGAGATCCGAAATATCACTCAATAGGACTATGGTTCCATCTCTAGAACGAAAAACATCTAGATTAGAAAAAAATTTTCTGAAAGCGGTCCCCCTCGGCAAGCAAGGCACACCCCCGAGTGTATTTCTGCCTTGAAAAAGCTTCACTTAAATCGGTTCTCTATCTGCGTAAGAACATTAAGGGACAATTTCACATTGCGTAGTTAACTCAGAATCGACAGTTAACTAGAGATTTTCAGTACAAAATTCTGTAGTTAACTCCCGCTTCTGAGTTAACTACGCATTGTGAAATTGGCCCTAAGACGCACACAACAAATTGTGGGAGATGTTTGTTCGAACACTTAGCAAAAGCGTATGCGCCAAATATTTATTTAAATATGTTTTTATTAGTATACGCATAGTGGCCAATCAACCAAAAGGGAACGGTTCAATTCATATAAGTCTTTCCAGACCAATTTGTCGCCGTTTTTACTGGGTAATGAAAACATAAAAACAAAATTAAATATTGTAATTACCACTTTTTTGTTCACCTTTGTTCCTTGGCATATAACAGATTTCAGAACTCATACATACTGCAAAATATTTGAGTGGAGTGCATTTGTTCTCAAATTAAATTTCAGAAGTTGCGTGGTGTTTGCACACCTACTAATTGTGCAATATAATTTTGATAAACGAAACGGAATCCCTTTACTTTGGTGGCGGAATTGTGGCATGAGGTTTATGTAATTGCTCAGGTTTTCTACTTTTATTTTTGCTTCGGTTGTAACTGTATTTGAGCGTTTTATTGGCGTTACTTCATCAGATTGGAAAATCGCCATATATTTATAAGCGGCAACAAATGTGTAAGCTAAATTCCACGTTAAGTGCGTGCTTATTAACGGATGTACATACGTACTGTTAGCATGTTGATTTAGGTAAAGAGTTCACAATTTTACGCACAACTTGCGAGCCAAAATGTATACAAATTAGTATAAATATGTAGATACCCTGCAGGAAATGGGACCTAGGTTGTAGCTAACTATTAACTACTACCAGTCGACTAGTGGTAACTATTTATTAACTATTTCCTTTAACCGTAACTAACTACTTTTGAAGGGCGATGACGACAAAATAGTGATCCCTGGTGTCCTCTGTATTAGATATCAGCTAACCACTGTTGGACAAAAACTACGCGGTGATACAAAAAAATTCAGGAAATACGGTGACAGGTAATAAGATCAACGGAAATAAGGTCAATTGACTTTATTTCGTTTTTAAAACGAAATAAAATCCATTGACATTATTTCCCTTTCAAACATTAAATTTGCTTAGCTTCGCGGCGGCCCGCGTAACCCGCGCGGCCGGCGCGCACACCACGTCACGCTACGCCGCGGCCCCCCTTCTCCGTCTCCCATCGTGCTGTAGCGCAGGTAGATTTATTTTTTGTATACGTTGAAATAAAATTTGTATATATTTTAAACATCGAGGGATTATATTCAATAATACCCTCTATCTGCACACTTCTCACAAAGATGAGATTCTGATACGAAAATCCACCTAAGCTTGAACTGTCATCAGTGATATTATTGTTACCTTATATAACGACAGGTAATAATTCCCAGATGGTTTCTAAAATCACAAATTAGTTTTTGTGCAAATTGCAGATAGAGGGTATTAATGAATTCAAGCCCTCGATATTTCACATTTTTATATTTGTAAGTTATTGGAAGCAGGGATGCCAACTTGGCTCAAACCGTGCCATTTGTTCCTATTTTACTTCAAATGGCACTTAATTTT